ACTATGTACATAGTTTCTCCTCTGTGACTTCCGTTCTTATCGAGAAATCCTCCTTTCGTCAGTGTGCTTTCAGTTCTTTCAGCGAATTCCGATCTTTCCAAACCATAAATATGAACCTGGCCCGGTGTGCTTTACTAAAGTGATCTTACAATGAGAAGGATGCAGAGTCGTGTTCGAATAATTTCCTCTTCATATTTGACACTAGTTCTTCCACGAAGCCTCGTTGATCTTTAAAAATCCACCAATAAAATGAATCGTTTTTTTTCTCACATTCTTTCTTCGATCAACTGAACATTCGTTGAAAACAAACGCAAGCTAACAATGATTAGCAAAACTACTTTGAATTGTTTATATTGTAATTGCGAATACAAAGCCACAAAGCCTAAACAGTAAAAGTGCTGTGAATGAGCTAGCTAGGTTTTATGAAAAACAATTGAATCACTCTTTCTACTTTGCAGAGCCCAAATACTTCTTCTCCGTTTGTGTTGCGCCAATTTTTGGTTCGGAACCAAAATGGCTGTTATTGGCCGGAACTCATTGAGCACTACAAGTTACAAGTCAGTGGAACCTTATCATACTCACTTGTGCCTTCTAAACTCCCGAAGTTTCGGACTTTTCGCAGGGTGCCACTTACTTTTACGTCTATACAAAATACATCGATGAGTACAGTCGCGTTCTTCTTGATGACTATATTCGTACTGGGGAAGCAGAAGCTGTAATTCTCCATGATCGCTTCCAAAGAGCAGACGACAGATGGCAAGCAGTAGAATTGCAGGTATGTCCAGTAGTTTAATTAAAGGAAGCGGTTACGATAAGGAGGTAGCGCTTCGGGGAAGTACATACTATGCGTGCCACATGAAGAAGATACTTGACTGCCAAATACTATTAGGCGTGGCGCTCTCGCGATGAAAAGTGCGCTAGTTGCTGAGAAGGACTTCGGAAGCACCACGCTCCCAAAGGTGATCCGCCCGCTAGTTTGGCTGGTATTTATTTTGGACGAGTTGTGCTGCCAGCAGCGGCTACTACTGCTAGAGTGGTCAAATATGGAGCGTGGCATGATGCCACCAAATGCGTTGCGGTGGACTCGTCCATACTTCCGGGCC